ACACTAATGGACAAAACTTAAGGAAGTTTTACCTTTTAGCATGTATATCGGGATTCAGACAATAAATCTAAAAGATACACTCATGGACAAAACTTAAGGAAGTTTTACCTTTTAGCATGTATATCGGGATTCAGACAATAACTCTGTAAGATACACTCATGGACAAAACTTATGGAGGTTTTACCTTTTAGCATGTATATCGGGATTCAGACAATAACTCTGTAAGATACACTCATGGACAAAACTTATGGAGGTTTTACCTTTTAGCATGTATATCGGGATTCGGACAATAACTCTGTAAGATACACTCATGGACAAAACTTATGGAGGTTTTACCTTTTAGCATGTATATCGGGATTCAGACAATAACTCTGTAAGATACACTCATGGACAAAACTTATGGAGGTTTTACCTTTTAGCATGTATATCGGGATTCAGACAATAACTCTGTAAGATACACTCATGGACAAAACTTATGGAGGTTTTACCTTTTAGCATGTATATCGGGATTCAGACAATAACTCTGTAAGATACACTCATGGACAAAACTTATGGAGGTTTTACCTTTTAGCATGTATATCGGGATTCAGACAATAACTCTGTAAGATACACTCATGGACAAAACTTATGGAGGTTTTACCTTTTAGCATGTATATAAGGATTCAGACAATAACTCTGTAAGATACACTCATGGAGGTTTTACCTTTTAGCATGTATATAGGGATTCAGACAATAACTCTGAAAGATACACTCATGGACAAAACTTAAGGAAGTTTTACCTTTTAGCATGTATATCGGGATTCAGACAATAACTCTGAAAGATACACTAATGGACAAAACTTAAGGAAGTTTTACCTTTTAGCATGTATATCGGGATTCAGACAATAACTCTGAAAGATACACTCATGGACAAAACTTAAGGAAGTTTTACCTTTTAGCATGTATATCGGGATTCAGATAATAACTCTGAAAGATACACTCATGAGAAAAACTTAAGGAAGTTTTACCTTTTAGCATGTATATCGGGATTCAGGCAATAGCTCTGAAAGATACACTAATGGACAAAACTTAAAGAAATTGTACCTTTTAGCATGTATATCGGGATTCAGACAATAACTCTGAAAGATACACTAATGGACAAAACTTGAGGAAGTTTTACCTTTTAGCATGTATATCGGGATTCAGACAATAACTCTGAAAGATACACTAATGGACAAAACTTAAGGAAGTTTTACCTTTTAGCATGTATATCGAGATTCAGACAATAACTCTGAAAGATACACTAATGGACAAAACTTAAGGAAGTTTTACCTTTTAGCATGTATATCGGGATTCAGACAATAACTCTGAAAGATACACTAATGGACAAAACTTAAGGAAGTTTTACCTTTTAGAATGTATATCGGGATTCAGACAATAACTCTGAAATATACACTAATGGACAAAACTTAAGGAAGTTTTACCTTTTAGCATGTATATCGGGATTCAGACAACAACTCTGAAAGATACACTAATGGACAAAACTTAAGCAAGTTTTACCTTTTAGCATGTATATCGGGATTCAGACAATAACTCTGAAATATACACTTATGGACAAAACTTAAGGAAGTTGTACCTTTTAGCATGTATATCGGGATTCAGACAATAACTCTGAAAGATACACTCATGGACAACACTTAAGGAAGTTTTACCTTTTAGCATGTATATCGGGATTCAGACAATAACTCTGAAAGATACACTAATGGACAAAACTTAAGGAAGTTGTACCTTTTAGCATGTATATCTTTACATGCTAGTCCTTACAGGGTACTATGAAGTAGAATGTCATTAAGACTGGGACTCAGTATCAGGCCACTGACTTAGCTCTAATATGTAATGTCTGACATGAGGAACAGACACCATGTACAGCCACTCTTAACATGGAGTACATCCTGTATCCCTGGAGTCCTTTCAGGGTACTATCAGCATGGCTGGGTAAAGTAGAATGCCATTAAGACTGGGACTCAGTAGCAGGCCACTGACTTAACTCCAATATGTAATGTCTGATATGAGGAACAGACACGATGTACAGCCGCTCCTAACTTGGAGTACATCCTGTATCCCTGGAGTCCTTTCAGGGTACTATCAGCATGGCTGGGTAAAATAGAATTATATTAAGTCTGGGACTCAGTAGCAGGCCACTGACTTAACTCCAATATGTAATGTCTGATATGAGGAACAGACACCATGTACAGCCACTCCTAACATGGAGTACATCCTGTATCCCTGGAGTCCTTACAGGGTACTATCTGCATGGCTGGGTGAGCCCAGGTTGTTTAGTAAGCTTGTTACTGCTTCCCCTCCTCCTTTTCGGATTGGAACCGGCAAAAGCTGCTCTTCTGTCTGTATTGGATATGGAAATCAATCAGTAATTCCCATGTTAATGAGAAATCTGGCGTGAGCAGTGTAACAGGTAAACCGTAATGCATAGTTCCAGGTTGAATTAAATATTGATTCTACTAACTCACTCATATTTCCTCTTATAACTCGAGTAACCAAATTATCTACACTCAACACGTCAGAAGTATTCGCTAAGGAAACTTAATTACAAAGAATTCAAACATACATTTATTAATATATAAAATGCTTCGAGCAATCACTTTTCCGCAAACTTCAAATTGAGTCTTTTATTAGAACATTTATATTATGATACCTTAGCACGCCATCTGTTATCAAAATTCGAAACTATTATAGACGCGTATGATTATTTTTAAAATTTAACAATTTATTCTGCCCTTACTGCAATGGAAAAACTAATGAGAGGGCCTGGCTCATCAGTGGTGAACCCTTCCAGCGGTTTCGACAGTTTAATCAACAATACCGCATTAATATTGTATTTTTCCTTCTTCTATAGTGATACTGATTATAGACCTTTGGAACCCTTCTATTAAATTTTCCATTGCAATAAGTGTTGAGTTTTCTATGATATATATTATTTATTTATTAATTTATTTTCTAGGATTATGTATATTGACCGTTGACTATTTTGTATACAAGGTATGTCCCATAAGTTCCCGGACTGGGTCCATAAAGTTTTTTATTAAAACTTTTCAAAGTAATCCCCCCTTGCTTCAACGCACGAGCGCCATTGTTTCTCCCAATTGTCGAAACAGGTTTTATAAGCCTCTTTTGGAATGCTCCTCAATGCTAACGGCGATTTTTCTATTATGTCATCCCTGGTGTCAAAATGTCTTCCTTTTAGAACTGCTTTAAGTTTGGGGAACAGGAAAAAGTCATTTGGTGCGATGTCTGGGAAATAAGGTGGTTGAAGTAGGATTTGTGTCCCGTTTTTCGCCAAAAAGCTGGTCATCAAGTGCGCTGTGTGAGGGCGAGCATTGTCATGGTGTAGGATCTAGCCACCATTAGTCCATTTTTCTGGCCTTTTTTATCGAATCGCTTCCCTTAGACGGCGAAGAATGCCCAAATACACTTCCTTAATAACTGTTCGGCCTGCAGGAAGATACTCGTGATGAACAATGCCCTTGTTATCCGAAAAAGCGACCAGCAACACCTTGTTTCTGGATTTTTTGGGTCTAGGCTCACCCTAACCTCTCCACCCGGCAGATTGAGGTTTGGTTTCAGGGTCATAGCCATAGACCCATGTCTCGTCGCCTGTGATTATCTTGTCTTTCCATTCTGGATCCGTTCTTGTCATTTCCATCATGTCCTCACAGGTTGCAAGCCGACACAGCTTTTGCTCATTGGTGAGGAATCTTGGGATGAATTTAGCAGGAGTCTTTTTGAGCTTCAAATCTTCGGTTACGATCCTTCCAATCGTTGTTTTAGAGATGCCTGTGTCTTGCTCTAGCTCCAGCAAAGTGGTTCGAGGATTTTCTTTTATCAAATCGGTGATTTTTTGCACATTTTCATCAGTCCTTTGAAATTTTGGGCGTCCTTGACGAGGATCATCTTCAATGGAAATTCTGCCAGCTTTAAATCTAGAATGCCATTCAAAAACAGTTGTTCTCTTTGGGGCGTCATTGGGGAATGCTTTATTAAGCATTTCAAAAGTTTCGGTTGCTGATATTTGAAGTTTCACACAAAATTCTCTGCAAATCCTCTGCTTCAATTTTTGTTCCATCGTAAAATCGCCGCAGCGCTAGGTGTGACCTTTAAATAAATTAGAATAACCTTGGCGCGCGCGCAAGTACCGCCTCGATATTGGTACCACCGTGTAGCCAGATATTTTTTCTATAATAAACAGTCAAATTCATTTACATTTTTCATTTATTTATTTTTTATGGACCCAGTCCGGGAACTTATGGGACATACCTTTATAATTGAGTTTTTTTAATAAAGTATAAGTGTGTGAATAGTAATTTGGTCGGGCTTTTTTCTCTCTTAGGCTGAGGCATTGGAATCACCATTGGGGTGTCGCCTGGGAAGTTGAAAACCTATACAGTCTTCTAAAGTACAGCTTCTAATTTGTTAAGGACAAAGTAACCTTAACAATAAGGGTAGTAGAAATTGTTTAAATTTTAAAAAGAATCATATGGGGTGAAGCCGGTTATGTAAATTTCTCTTTTTTTGCTTATTCAGCCAGAAGATTTACATAGTTGTAAATATAATTTTGTATAAAGGGATATGTAAGTTTAATAAAGGTGTGTCAGTTATAAATCGGGTGTTGGTGAATTATTAGTGTCATCAGGGTGTTGTGGACACTTTTAAGGAAGAAAATAGGCTTCGGTTGGAGACCAGAAGAAGTCTGGCAAGAAGATACAGTGAAGCTCTGCCATAACTATTTAATTAAGGCCAGACATATCCAGGATGCGGCAAGCTTTACAAGCTTAGTGAGTGAGGCAGTGATCGTATCCGAAACACTATGCGTCTATAATAGTTCCGAATTTTCATAACAGATAGCGCGCTAATGTATTATTAAAAAGTTATAAAGGCGAATATTTAGTTATAAAACTAAGACATTAAGTATTTATATATAGATATAGATGGATATTTTGTGGATGGAATATTTGGACGAGTGGTAAAAACGGCATTCTATCGACAGCAAAGACCCGGGTTCGAATCCCGCATTGTACAATTTTTTATGAATAAAAAAATTACTACTGTAGCTACTCTCTGGTAAGAGTACACCTCTATCTAAAGGACACTTTGACTCTGTAACTAGAGGTTTTCTTTTACAGAGAGGTTGTTCTACTGTAGCAACTCACCAATGAGAGTACACCTCTCTCTAAAAGACACTTTGGATCTGTAACTAGGTGTTGTCCTTTACAGAGAGGTAGTTCTACTGTAGCAACTCTCTGGTAAGAGGACATCTCTCCCTAAAGGACACTTTGACTCTGTAACTAGGTGTTGTCCTTTACAGAGAGGTAGTTCTACTGTAGCAACTCTCTGGTAAGAGGACACCTCTCTCTAAAGGACAGTTTGACTCTGTAACTAGGTGTTGTCCTTTACAGAGAGGTAGTTCTACTGCATTAGAAATAAGATAGATGGCAATTTTCTACATAAGAATTCTATTCTGTGTTATTCAAATATTTGGGGAAGGATAGGACGAGTGGTTTGATTTATCGATTCGGTTCCAAAATCACTTTATTAGGTACCACTCAACAAGAGCAACCTAGTTTATGATGATTGTAGCAATGAATAATATATATGAAGGTTATTTGAATGCAATTCTACTGTCCTATAAGCTTATGTCCATAGTTTACTTGAAAACCATTTCTAAGATTCCATACTTCAGTGTAGCATATAAAAGCAGAATGATCCAATACAGTATTAGAGCTCTGAGAAGCGGTCTGGTGGATTAAATTGGCGAAACTGCTGGGAGGGTTCACCACTGATGAGCCAAGCCCTCCCAATATATTTTTTCACCGCAGTAAGGACAGTAGAAGTTTGTATTATGTATAAAAGAAACATTCGCGCTTTTAAATCCTTTTATTTTATATTAAACAAAATGTTAACGTGGGATTCAATACCAGTTCATGGCTGTCGGGAATCGAGGGTGTTACCCACTCGTCCACTAACTTCTTAATTTTTAAATTATCGATTTTCCAACAGCCACATTGGACACCTTGTTACGAATTACAAATAAATTACTTCAATTACCCCTGATTCTTGCAAAATTTCAACCCTACCAGTGATTGAAAGTAACCAAACGAGGCTCTGACATACTTGTAATTGCAATATTCGAACTGCTCTCTACATGTTTAGACATGTGGAATACTTACAGTAAAAACCGTTTCTAATGATTATCATGGCCTATACCATGTATAACTGGGATATAAAAATAATTATAAATAAAGTAAAACTTTGATAAATCGAAAGTCTTCAATTTTAAAACGTCTTTAATTTGAATATTTATCTTGGTTTCTAGAATTTTAAACTTTTGATTCAAAATGTTTTTAATTCGAATTTTTGGGTAATTCGAATTTTTGTTTTAATCCGTTGGGCTTTAAATTATTTCAGTTTGACCGTACTAAAAAATTCAAACAAACACTTAGGAATTTCTATATTGAATCTGTTCATCAAACGTTTATTATATAAATTCCATCAAAACATTAAAAAGCAAACACCCAACAGCGGTTCTATTACATCACAACTGTGGCCGTTCCCATGTAGTCTTCCAATGATTGAATTTACTTCCGCTATTTACAGTTATTTTACTTCTAACAATGTTTATACGAGTGTGAGGTTTATATATATATATATTGTTAACACTCACAAGCCACATGGGGGTCGGTGGAAGGCTGGTTAAACCGTTTGGTTTTCGACCACTACAACCCGGGTTCGATTCCCGCATTGGACACTTTTTTTCTGTTTAAAAAAAATAAAAATAATAAAAATGCCCCAATGGCCCCCCGATTCTTGTAAAAGTCCAACCCCATCAGCGAGTGAAAGTAACCAAACAGGGCTCTGGCACATTTGTAAGTGCAAAGTCGAACTGCTTTCACATGTGTAGACATGTGGTGCGCTTGCAGTAAAAAAAGTAGTCGCTAACTACCCACCATGATTATCATGGCCTGTACCACGTGTACTAGGGATAAGCAAAAAAAAAAAAACAAGCCACATGATAAAACATGATAGATCGTTTACTCGTTGATTTCTTTCATCATGATTCCAATTATTATTGCTATACCTGGTTCAAATCACATTAATAGGTACCGCTCACCAAGAGCAACCTAGTTCATGATTATTGAAACAGTGAATAATATGTGACGGTTATTCACATATTAAACAAATTTTAACGCGGGATTCAATCCCGGTTCATGATTGTCGGGAAACGAGGGGGTTACCACATATGATATATTGCTCAGGTCAGTCTGAGCTTGTCGAAAATTGTAGTTGTGCTCGACCAAATTTGAGTGTTTTACAAGATACGGGTTGTGACTCTGTAGTGTTTCTCAGCTAACGACATCAAATTGTAGTTTCAAAATGAATCAATCCAAATCATCTAATAGAACCAAATCTTCATAATAAACTTCCTTCTCTGAATAATATTGCTATACCACACAATGTACACCCACAACACAATATAGAAATATATTGCTAACGTTTTTAATATATATATGTCGTATCCGTCGTGGTCGAATGGAAGGGCGCAGTGCATGTATGCGTCAAAAAAGAACTTGGTCCACACTCGTGAGCGCGCACGCACGCAGCAGAGAAATGGCCTTCGCCCCCGAGCGCTGGCTTCCAGATTTATTTTGTACAGATTTATACATGGATGTATTTGTATTTACAATTTAACATAATAATTATGTGGAAAATAAATTATATATCTTGGGTATTATACAAATTATGACATATATATATATATATATTACATCTCTAAATACACTATTGTTAACGAGGAACGGAATAAGATCTTAAAGAACATTATTCAAGTCTACGTGTACCCAGTTCAGCTAATCAGAATAATGTCCGAGAAAAAATATATAGCGATAGAATTGTTTAACTTTCATAAAGCGTTAGAGAACAAGGTAATCTCTAAGAACTAAAATTACAGAACAATTTCCTTCCATAGTTAATTTGTATAGTTATGTTGAATACTTTGATTTCATTTTCCCTTCTCTCCTTTGTTTATGTTTTCCTTTTCTCCATGAAAATGATGTATGGCGAGTCCTTACAGGACGGGAATGTCCTAATAAAGCTATTGTTGTTGATATTAATAAAAAAGGCATATATTGAATCAAAATATCATATATTTTACCAATATTTCAGTTGGCTGAACGCAAACCTTTATCAAGGTGTTATAACATATTAATGTGTGTCAACAACAAACTTAATTCTATTGACGTTATGTGGCGCTGAGTTTGTTGTTGACACATTAATATGTTATAACACCTTGATAAAGGTTGGCGTTCAGCCAACTGAAATATTGGTAAAATAAATGATATTTTGATCCAATATATGTCCTTTTTTAACACAAAGCAATAACGCGCCATCTATACATATAAAATGAAAGGATTTAAAAGCACGAATGTTTCTTTTATTCATAATACAAACTTCTACTGTACTTACTGCGATGAAAAATATATTGGGAGGGCTTGGCTCATCAGTGGTGAACCCTCCCAGTGGTTTCGCCAATTTAATCCACCAGACCGCTTCTCAGAGCTCTACTACTGTATTGGACGATTCTGCTTATATATGCAGCACTGAAGGATGGAATCTCAGAAATGGTTTTCAAGAAAACTATGGACATAAGCTTATAGGACAGTAGAAGCGGTCTGGTGGATTAAATTGGTGAAACCGCTGGGAGAGTTCACCACTGATGAACCAAGTCCTCCCAATATATTTTTTCATCGCAGTAAGGACAGTAGAAGTTTGTATTATGTATAAAAGAAACATTCGTACTTTTAAATCCTTTCATTTTATATGCCTTTTTTAATTAAAGATTTATTTATGGATGGCTCTATTTTCAAAGAGTATATATTATAGTATCATTCCTTTTGTAACATTGCTATTGTGCATATATTGATATGGTTTAATTTGGAGAAAGAAGAGGTACGTGAAGACTAAAAGATAACCAACTACGAGAAAAACAACAAATAAACATAATACCTTTAAAAGGTAATTTACTTTTTTTTTACTTTTGTTTGTATCTTATTTGTTTTAATTATGGAAACCTTTAGGTGTATAACACCATGAAGGAAGAAATCAAGGTGAATGACCCTATACCAGAGATCTGCAATCTTTTGAGTTGTAAGAGTTACACACACAAAAGCCTATATTAGGGACTTGCCCCATACATATTCTCCCAAATGGGTAAGGTAATAATTGTGTTATTTACATAGAAATTGAACTGGCTTTACTCTTCATCTCAAAGTCATTCACTTGTTGACTGGTCCTTACATAATGATGATCTCTTTTTTTTTTTGCTTATCCCTAGTAGACGTGGTACAGGACATGATAATCATGGTGGGTAGAGTAGGCGACTGCTTTTACTGTAAGTACACCACATGTCTACACATGTGAAAAGCAGTTCGACTTTGCACTTACAAATGTGTCAGAGCCCCGTTTGGTTACTTGCACTCGCTGGTGGGGTTAGACTTTTGCAAGGATCGGGGGCCATTGAGGCATTTTTTTTATATAAAAAAGTACCCAATGCGGGAATCGAACCCGAGCCGTAGCGGTAGAAAACCAACGGTTTAGACCATCCTTCCACCGACCCCCATGATCTATAAATATATAATAAGCTATTGCCTTAGATTTGTTTTACTGATATTTTTGAAAGCGTAGGGTGAAATGCTGGTACATTTAATTTGTTGATATAGGGCCTTCCTCTCTGCATCAAGGGCTGTACAATTAAGCAGGTAATGGGGGAGTTCTTCAGTAATTTCTTTGTCACATAGTGTACATATTTAGAGTCGGAGGAGACAAAAATTACAATTCACAAACTTTTAAAAGTTTTTAAAGAGCCATAAAATGTTTTTCTTGCCCCAACAATAAATAGTAGACGTATAAATAAATATTTACGTATGGAACTATATAATATACAATATATATATGTTATATAAAAATATTATTTTATTTAAAATTATATATCATAGATTCAAATACTCTGTTAAATCGACCGCCAG